GGGGGGTGCCCGGCATGGGGTGACTCAGGCATCGTCATAAAGTTCTCTTTTAGCATAGTAAACCTCACATGAGAGTGACTTAATGCGTACTACTAGTAGTAATGTAAACATTGAATATCAATTCAGAAATATTGTAAAGTGGTTTTCAGCAAAGGAAAAATAGTTCCCTGCATTTCATTCAAAACAAAAAATATTTCAAATTGATAAATGTTACACCTGAAATACTGGTAGTTATTTATCAAATTTTAACGAATTAGAGTTGCAATGTATCTCCCCCTTCCCTCCTGGATATGAATAACACTAACAGTACCGGTCATGCATAAAGTTATTCAATGTGGAATCGTTGGTACCTTTCCAGATCTAATTGTCAGTTCTAAAGGTTTGTTAGAACTTGGCTCAACGAAGTTTTCAAAGAGGTTCCTGGTTTGTCTCTGATTTTCAACACCAGTCTCGGACTTCGAGTTTGAGGGGAGAGACTCCTGTTGTAAACCATCTTCCACATTTCCTTGTACCGTTTTGCCTTCATAACTGGCAAATGCAGACATCCTTGCTTGAGATCATCACCAATGCTCTTCCCGGAAACCATGTCCATCCTTTTGAGACGAGGTCTCTTTGCAGGAGCAGCCGGAGCACCAAATCGCATTTCAAGATTGAGGATGCCCACGAAACAGAAATATCGGTACCGGTATCAATATAATTAGCTTCCTCTTTCTGAGAACCCTCAACAGAATGTTTGTCACATGCCTTTGAGAGTTTATCAACAGAAATTCTGCTGTGTACTTGTGTCCCATGTTTCGGTTTATAGTTCCGTGACACGTTGTCTATACTATGTGTAATCTGTCTGGAAAATTGCAAACACCCCAAAAACAAACAAACAAACACGCCTGTCAAAACCGTAACTTATATAACTTCTTTCAAATACACGAATTCTATCTCTCATCTGACTAACCAAAAGCCTAATACCTACTTTAAAACGTACAAGTGCAATAGATTAGGAGGTATTCACCAAAGTTTGAAGGAATCTTGCAGAGGTTGATTTCAAATGTTGGCGGTAGCCATCTTAATAACAAGCCTCAGATCTACCAAAAATGTTCCTGCTGAGCTATTTTTGTGTAAATATACAACAAATTTATTACTCTTTCGGGATATGCATTTCAAAATTACAAGATATCACTTTTGATATCGAAAAAACATTCTCAAAATCTTAATAACATTTTCCCAGCTACTTGCCTTAGTCACCCCGTGGTGCCTAAGTGACCCCAGTTTACGGGTACTTTTCTTTTGATCACGACCAGAAGTATAGATTTGAATTATGATAATAATATCCTAGGTCATGCTCTGTCTGGGCGCGGATTTTTTGTTTTGTTTTGTCTTGTTTTGTTTTTGTTTGTTTATTTTAGTTTTGTGTTTGTTTGGGGTTGTTTCTTTTTTTTTTTTTAGGGGGGGTATGCTGTTTCCTTAGTATGATGCTGTACTCGGGTGTCGACCAACCTCATTCATTTCCTCAGTGGGATATGTTTTGTTTTTTAAAGTCTGTTAGACTCCTGGCCGCCTTCCAATTAGGCGCTGTGCTTTTTTAGAAAGACGTTTAGATTTTTGGGTCTCGCCTCTCACGTAACCCTACATTACTAAAGGTCATGCTAAAACCTCGTTGGTCAAAATGATCGTAACATACAAGACCAGGGATTGGTTACTTGAAATAGGCGATTGTTACATCACTTTTGCCATTTAAAAGAACCCTGCTTCTGCCGGGCCTGTGAATGGAGAAATGTATAGCATTTTACTGTGAGATATCATAATACTATACTCTCGACTCTCGTATCTTCCTAGTATTCTACTCGTAATGACACTCGGTGTTAAAAATCAGCATTATCTCGTCTTCCGTGTTCACCCCAATCGGTGATTATTGGCTCAAAATGTTTTAAATTCTCAAAGTTTAGTTGTGACTGTTGCTTTTTCTGGTTGTGTTTTGTTTTGTTTTTCCTCCCATAAACCCAGTGCTGACAAAACTATGTTATACAGAGTAGGAAAGAAAGAGAGAGAGAGAGAGAGAGAGAGAGAGAGAGAGAGAGAGAGAGAGAGAGACAGACAGACAGACAGAGACTGAGAGAGAGAGAGACACAGAGAGAGAGAGAGAGAGAGAGAGAAAGAGAGAGAGAAAGGAGGAGGACAGACAGACAGACAGGCAGACACACTTACAAACACACAGACAGATAGACACACAGACAGACGCACAGACAGACACACAGACACACAATCAGACATACACACTGACAGACATAGAAAATAACAGATGTTGCATTACTTAATCCTCTTTGTTGATAACATAAGATCTGTATGTTTACTTGAACCCTGCTGATACTCTTCTTTGGCGTATGTGCATGTTGCTTGCTTAGAGACTTGACTTTAAAGGCTACTTTTCTCATGGTTTGGTTTCGTTCAAGAGATGTTAAATAGTCGCTTTTAAGCACAAGGGGGCTATCTCGAAAAGTGCTGTTTTGAGATAAACGACGGTAAAGTTTTTGCCCCTTGATCAGTTTCTTTAAAAGACAAGGAGAGTTTTCTCTAGAACTATAACCAAACAAAGATACACACCAATGAAACCAAACTTCTCCTATAGGTAGGGCAATGCCCACATTTGGTGTAGGTTCTAGATTTCCCGAAAAAACCCAAATTTGGGTTAGCCCGCTTGTCCTTTAAAAAAAGCGACCAAATATTATTGCTTGTTTAGAAACTTGACATCTAAAGGCTACTTTTCTCATGGTTTGATTTCGTTCAAGAGATGTTAAAGATTTTGTGCATAACCTACATGTACTATTGTGCAAGAGATTTCTTGCTTGCCATATTGTACTAATTAAAGAATGAACGAATGCCAATATGTATCACGTTTGTGTGTTGCATGTCATGACATCATGTGTATCTATTGTCTTCTTTTTTTTTGTTTGTTTGTTTGTTTGTTTGTTTGTTTCTTTTGTTTTTTGTCATGTTTGTTTTTGCAACACTCGCACGTTCCATAATGACATTGCGTTCCCTAGTACGTAATGTCTTTTTATTTTAAAGTGATATTTTGATGTTGGTAGTGGTAGTAGATCTAGTGGTGGACGTATAGGCCTACATACACTGCTACTACTGCTACAGTTGTAACTGCAAGAAACAGCACAGTGGTAGCAAGCAGAAGCGTAGCAGCAGCAGCAGCAGCA